GCACCGTCTCAGGTTTCATCCTCAGTAAATTGAGGAAGCTTGTTGACAGATGATTTCCTCTCAAGCTTTGTAATCAGTATCCAGAGTGAGCTGACTGCATATCCAGTCCTTGAAAAAATTAAAAAAACATGTCTCAAAGACAGATGGCCACTAAGTGGCACTGGCTTCCAGAACGTTGTAGAATTGATTTTAAGATGTTATTGCTTGTGTTTAAGTCTCTGAATGGATTAGCTCCGTCATACCTCTCTGACCTTTTAACTAAAAATACTCCAAATAAAACTCTCAGGTCAGCTGATGTTGCTTCTAGGCTAAAAAAAACAGAGGAGACCGGGCCTTTGTGATTGTTGGGCCAAACTTTGGAACAGTCTGCCCCTTCATATTAGGATCTCTCCAACACTCGACATTTTTAAAGCACATCTGAAAACACATTTTTACTTTATAGCTTTTAATTGCGACTGAGTTTGTGTTTTATTCTCTGTTTGTGTTTGTTCTAGTTTTTACGTTTTTTGCTATGTACAGCACTTTGGTCAACCTGTGTTTTTAAACGTGCTTATAAATAAATTGATTGAATTTAAATTGATAAATCTTATTCAAATGGAGAATCGGGCTTTATTGTAATGTTCGGTTTTGTGCAGAAATATTTTTATTGTGTTACACTTCAGGTACTTTATATTGTAAAATTAGAAAGTGTATTTTTAATAGAAACTACAGTTAAACCCAAATATTCTACAGCATAGTCTCAATCATCTTGTATGTTGGGGGTATTCTAGCACATACTATAATCTGGAGTTGTGCTGATTTAACATAAATGAAGGAGATGATTTATTCTGCCGGCACTCAATCAACCGTGGGTCAGCCTGACATGACAGAACGTCTCATATGAAGTAAAAGTGTGCATGAAATTTGAAAGTGATCACATTTTTATGGAAAACAAACATCTGGTATTCAAATGCCTCAAACAGACATCAGATAAGACATGAACTTCAGGTAACCATATCATTTTTATTCATAGATGAAAACAGTGGTTTCAGAGACAAATGGTTTAACTCATTTAGTGTACAGAACCAAGCTGTTTATATTGCAACCATACTTGGTTTCAGCTTCTCTGGTCTCTGATCTTTTCCAGTTTACTTTAAATTCTCAGAATAAATTTGGAAAAATAAGAAATGACATTTTTAAGGGAAACTTATTTCCTCTGTGTTTTACTCATGGATTGTTCCGCATGGTGTCAGCAATCCACTGTCTGTAGTGACAAATATTCAGCATTACAACAGGATTTGCACACTTATCAACAGGGTTACTGACAATTATTCCATGTAAAATGCCGTTGTGCTCCACAGCTGTACCAGCATCACCCTGGAAGACATTCAGACAAAGTTCAGAGGTTAGATCGTTTTAAATGTCAGTGTTTAAAGTTTAATATTAAAACCAACACGGGGTTAATATATCAAATAGTTTGCTTACAAAACAGGACTCCACGCCAGGTTTATGAGCACACATGGTGGTAGACTCATCACTAAAGTATTTACTATCAGGTTTATCATTCTCTCCACACTGAGCTATCTCAGTCATAGCACACTTTAAATTCTTGGGGTTGCTGGCCTCTGAGGAAATAAGATAAAGCATTATTAAACTTATTTC